TTGTTGTTGTTGTTGTTGTTGTTGTTTGTTTTGTGATGTTTGGGCTTCATATGTTAAAGATTGCAATCAAAACTAAGTGTAACAGTCACCAATAAAAAAAAAATAATTAATCTATTTCAATTTTTTACCCCCATAACATTGTCATTTGATTTTGAAAAAAAATCAAGATATAAATTATTATACTGATATAGTATCACATATGAGCATGTTTTATTTATATTATGTGTAAATATACTTTTTCTAAGGTTTTGGTGCCTTATATTTTTACACACATTGATCTTTCATATTCTTCTGAAACATTATTATGCCTCTTTGCTGACCTTTGATCAGTCACTTCTCGGCAAATCCACTGATTTGCCACTGATCCATAACTAGTTAACTAGGGCCAAATCTGAACTACAGAAACCTGCTGTAAATGATTTTCAAACACCTTGGTTTTCTAAGTCGAATTGACTTTATCAAGTCTACATTTTTACTATGGATTTGTGTGTCTGGTGCAGATGCTTATAATGTATGTTTGCAAAATCTTTGGGACCTGCTTTAAAATAACATAACTTCCTGCCGCTTAGTGAAGAACTTGCTCCAATATACACCATGAGAGCCAATATCCATATATCTACAGTAGAAAGCAAACCTGCGGATTCAGAAATTCTGTCATCTGTGTTTGAAGTTTAGTTTGATGAGAATTCATCCTGATGAGGAAGCCATACATATTATATATCGAAGGTAATGGAAGAAATTGTCAAAGTAATAGCCAGAATGAGCGATTATGTTCATAACAAAACCAAATTCAGTCACAGAACATCAGTCACTTGGGGTTTATCCCGGTTTGGTTGCGGAAGCTCCCTTCTCTTGCAGGGAACATCTTGTCCTCTCCACAGCCAAACTGCCAGCCCACACCTGGACAAGACACACTCAGAAGCCAGACCAGAAATAAAGAGTTATTTTCTATAGCTCAGTATCTCTTACTGTCCCTGCAACTACTTGTGTTATTTTTTAACTTCAGCTCCCAATAATTGGGATGGAWATTAATCTAGCATAGTTTGGGAGGGGGTGCTGTTTGTTTGTTTGTTTGTTTTGTTTTTAAGAGATAAATTTCAATTGGTTCCAAGTTTTCCACTTTTTCCAAGAGTTGGAAAAGTTTAGCTTTTTTGTTTGTTTGTTTTTCAGTCTGAAGCATATTATCTCACTGAAAGTTTAGAACATTTCTGAATAAACCACAAGCTGAAATTTGGATTTCCCTCTTTAAACTGTCCTCTTTCGAGCTATGGTTTAAGTCAATGAACACCTTTTTTGTGTGTTTAGCTGGGACAGAAATGAGCAATAACTCAATACATATGGACAAATCTTTAGGGTGCTTTTACATCTCCTGACATCAGAAGAAGACAAACAGATGTTAGGCTGTATTTGAATCTTCAGGGTTTTGGGGGGTTTCTTTTAAGCAATGATAACAACATCTGACTGAACTGGCAGGAAAACAGGCCCAGAGCTCCCCTCCTTCAGGAACAGCTTGCAGGGAAGCTCTCCGGCAGACTGAGGCCCGGATCCACATCCTAGAGGTTCATAAACACCCAATTCCCAGGCACAGAAGGAGGCACCAGGGCTTAGCGCTCGCCTCTGGAAGAGGACAACCCCCCGGGTAGGGCTGTAGTYTCACAGTTCCTCTCACCTCTTCCCAAAGGAACCATGAAGCTGAACCAAGAGCTGAGCCCAGTAGCCCATTGATTGATTTGATTGATTTGAACTGATGCCCCTGGGCATCTCTGGAGCTRGAGGGCTGCTCCTCCTGCCCCCCAGAGTGCTCCTGTGGGTTCCAGGAGGCCTCAGGCCAGGAAGGAAGCCAGGCAGGACCTCTCTGTTGTGAGGCACCCACCAAGGGCCTGTGAGGGGCTGGTCCTGCTGACACCCCTGGGCTTGCGGAGGGGCTCTCAGGAAGCCGAGTGGGACAGAACGGACAGAGACACGGGAGCCTCCGCATGAGCCTGCACCTGCCCACGGATCCAGCTCCGGGCTCCTCAAGGCTTTTAGAGACAGATGTCGGCAAAGCTTAGTGGCCTCCAGCACCAGCAGCRGGACAACCTGCAATGTGATTTATGTGATTTATGGGGCTAAATTCCTCCTCGGTTTCACATTTGTTGACTCAGTCTTTCACTCACTCTACAAAAATACTACAGTTTTCGCTGATGTATCTCCTTCTGGATGAAAAGTTGGATAGATTAGCTCCACACATGAAACGCATTAAAGTTTGCTTTCTGAAAACAATAAAATTCCAGGTATAACATGAGGGGGGAAAAAAAAAGTTTTCTTCTGGCTATCTGTATCACTTAGCCCTGCTGCCTCCTTGGCACAGCGGCCCAGCGTCTCGCAGGGCTGAGCYTTCCACCAACCTGAGCAGCAGGTTCACTTGTGCAGGCAGGGAACAGAGCAGCCTGCTGCTTCTCCACAATTCCCCATCGCTGTCCAAAGCCAACGCCGCGCTCGGGGAGCGCCGTGTCCTGCCAGGGCAGGCTCCCTGAGAACAACGTGGGATTGTCRATTACCAGAACTGAACTGAGCTTCTCACACAGCCCCAAGTGCCACCAAAGGGGGTAACACTCTTCAGAGCGGACAGACTGAGCGGCCCCTTGTTTGAAGGTATGAAGCAGAACACGGAATCTGCAGGGTCYGAAGGGCAGGACCAGGCACAACTACAGAGGAGGGATACAGAGGCACCGTATCCTGCTTATGGAAACGGCCTCCTCTCACTTGCAACTCAAAGCTCTGCTTTACTTTCCAAAGTTGCTCTAGACTCTTTTGTGACCGGAATTGTAACTTCTTCTTACCTCAATTTTACCGTTTCCCGCTTCAGTGACACATTTCTCTCTCCACGCTAACCATTCAGCACACCACATGGCAGGTCTTCTGCAGCCGCTCCATGGCCTGGTTACCCTGCTCCRTCCTCCTCCTCTCCCTCTATCTTCATGTTCCCAAGTTCCTGCCAAGAGCTGACCTGACGGAGAGCGATTCCTTCAGGAGGAAGGCCAGGGCTGCCTGGCTAGGCTGGGCTAGGAGCTGGCCTAGGCTAGGCTTGGAGGTGGCCTGGGACACGGCAGTTCCTCCTCCAGAGCTCGAACGCCCCYGGGCAAGCGCAGCAACAGCCGCAGCCTTTGCTCTTCCCGGGCAGCAGGAGCTGTGGGACCGGCTCAGGAGGGAAACAGCGGCTTCTCCGCACACCCCSCTGCCAGGTTCAGCAAGGCCAGCGAGGAGCGAGAGCCGCGGCCCTGAGAAACGGCCCCGGCTGCAGGGCGGCACTGCTAGAGAGCAGCCGCCACGCGCCTGCACGGCAGCAGCTGGCACACGTTCTCCTCGTTTCCCATCAACCTCATTTATTGCACCCCTAAGGATACAGAATCCAAGGTCCTCGGCTACACGAAGGAAAAATGTCTTACTTGGGACTAGAAAAAATGCTGGTTTAATCATGATCTGTTGTCAAACCAACTGCAAACATGTAGAACAACTCATTGAATGAAGGATTTAATACTGGGATCCTAGGATTTCCGCAGTCCTGAGAGACTCGGTGATTAAAAAAGCCACAAATCTTGCTCTCAAAAATTCACTATGTAGCATAGTACAATAAAATACAGGATGCTGTTATACAATCAAGCATCTGGGGAGATTAACTCTGATTAAAAAGAAGTCTGGGGAAAAAAGCTATTTAATAGAAAAAGGATGATGGCAGAGGAAACTACTGGATTTGTGYAGTTGCTTCAAGTTGGATGCTGTTAGGAAGTATTCTTTTACCAAGTAATAAAGTCAGAAATATTTCACACTCAAACTTCATCCCAGGAGGTGCTGAGTACAAAATTCAYAATAATTTCTCACAAAAAAATTCTTTGCAGAGAGACAGAGGGGACTAAAATGACCTGGAACATTCGGGAATAGGGTTTTTTTTTAAGAATATTGAAGAAAAATCAGGGAAACCGTGCAGCARGATAACATGAGACATGCAGGGAAACCTCCATAGGTGCCGCTGACCCCATATTGCAGTGGCAGCTGTGGGCAAGAGCAGAGAAGTCTCTTGGGGCAGAAGAAAGATAAAACTGAGCTAAGAGCAGAGCAGGAAAGTTCTGTGGCCAGGCTGGAGATAAAACCCATGTGAGTATAACCCATCTAAGCAATAACTGGTACAAGGACTCCCTCCGTCCTTGTTCGGAAAGCTGMCCTCCCATCACACAGAGTCACTTTACAGAAAAAAAGACAGCAACTTGAAACTCAAGAATATTTTAATACGTTTTTTTCCAAGATCTAATATACAAATGCAATGGTAATAATGTCCTTTTCTTCTGCAAGCTTGGATGAAATATATTGAAGTCCACTTTCTGTATATTACATAAATAATCCTCTAAAGCAACCTAGAAAAGAAAAAAAAGGTTAGTCCATGGGGTCCGCACCAATAATTAGACATTATGCCAAAAGAGAATATTTGAAACTGAATTATAGACGCAAAAGAGCCTGCCAATTTGCCTGTTGTAATAAGTGGTGGMGTGAGCTTCGTGTCCTAAAGCTTAAGGCAGGGTTCGTTAACAGAAGCATTATCTTTTATTAAACCAACTGACGAATGATAAATMGACAGCTCCCTATGCACCCCCGGATGATTTTCAGCACGGTGACTTTCAGAAGTTGTAGGTATTACATCCCCCAACCAACTAGACCCGTCAAGCACTATTGAACAGGGCTTAATTTGGCATTCTGCTGCTCTCACACCCACGAGCACAGCCCGCAGGGAGCCACACTCACTGTGCAGAGGAAAGCAGGAGTTGCCTTCACGGGAACTTTCCTCCTGAAAGACCTAGCCTGGAAGAAAAAAGGGAGAAAAAATATATATATATATCTTTACTAAGACAATCTAGCATTTCACATTTTAAATATATATACAGATGGCTAGAGACATTCGAATACACTACAAGTTTCATTCTCTAAWGTTTGATATACTGCGACTGTATTTTTTCATCATATACAGGCCAGCACCATCCCTCACTGTATGGAACAGTAACTACATAGAAAGTGCACAGTACTGGGAGAGGCCTGCAAGGTTCAGCTTTACRATCGACATAACAACATAAATTGGCCTCCCTTATCTGTGCAAAATTCTGAGCTGCACTTGGTTTTAATAAATAGGGTTTATCTTTTCTTCTTAAGCATCAAATAATTCTTTGCAGCCCGAGATTGAAATGGTGGAAGACSAGAAACGCACTCCCCTGCACTCGACTTGCTCTTCCAGTCTCAGTCACCCTCCACTTACATTTTGGGACTCTGGGAGGGTGTCAGTGCCACAGATCCTCMCAATCCGCATGGAAGCAAAGGCTAAACCACAGCTGAAACAAACCTCCACATGTAGGTACAAACTCAGCTGCATCTAACGGGGAACTGAAGGAAAGCTGCTGTAACATTTATTAATACATGCATTTTATTAACACATTTAATTTAAAAAGGCCTTTGTATTGCCTTTTTTTTTTTATAGATACAAAGCCACACATAGAAAAAGCCGTCAAGAGCACTGGTGAGTATGTACAAGTTTCTTTTCTATTGGTCTTTCCAGACAACTGAGGAAATCAGGCTGAAACTTCACCAGGAGGGACCCAGCACTTTGTTACATGCTTTCATTCTAATGAAATACTAAATTTTTTTCTAATGAAATACTAAATTTTATTCTAATGAAATACCCAATTCCTGAGGGAAACCGCAAGCTTCGCGCGGCTGCTTTGCCCTCTGCCGGTCAGGGCCAGGGTAGCAGGAAGAGCTGAGCCCACCTCAAACTTTCCTGCCAAGACTAARGGCCGGATCAACACAAGATGCTTCCCAAACACCCCTTGGACTTGATCAGGGGTTTAGGTTTCCTCTGGCTCTGAGCAAGGGCTGAGGGCTGCTATTGCGTCTGCTGAAACGCGCTCGGCTGGTGGCAAAATCTGGGATTCTTAAAACCTCTCTGGAGATCTTGGGCTAGCCCTACCCTGCATTTCCAACCTGGAGGGAGGACAAGTGGCCGGACAGGCCCGCAGGAAAAACGACCCGGAGATTTGTGGCAGAGTAACAGAAGCAGCCAATGCCCCCAGGCCACTGCAATCATCTCAAAGCTCRAAATACCCAGTCCTTTGCTGCCAGCAGATGGCTGTTGCATCCATTACGGAAAAAGTATCTATATCCTTGCATTAAAAAGACCATCTGATTAAGGAGACTAACACCTTGCTACTGTTGCCAGCTACTGTCAGGACAAGCGGTTTGGACTCCTACAGGGATCCTCCACTATCTGGGATTCTTCCCGGGTAAGGATGGATGCTGGAAGCCCATGTGGTTCTTAGAGTATTTTTTCTTTCCTTATTTTTAAAAGGAGAAGCCAGGGCAGCCCAACGAGCTCCCTTTCCGAAAGGGCCAAGCTCAACAYCCAAGCCGAACACAAGGCTGATGCCACCAGAATCGGGTTTCCTCGTGTTTAGGCTTTTCTGTAGAGTGTCCAATTACTTGATCCCACTGCGTATTTTCCATAGGGCCTTCCCAGCACGTAGCCTGGCCAGGGCTCTGGGAATGCACTGGGAAGGGCTAAGAGGATTCCGATTTTTGTCTTCGGAAGCCGGTGGCTCGTAGGGAGCCGGGGGCCACAGGGCTAAGCCCAATCTCAGGACCAAAGTACCTGAAGAGCCCTAAAGGCATCAACCCTCTCTCTGCTTCTGTGCCAGACCTGCCACGCAACACGGGCAGTGACATTTTAAACAACAGGACAGTAAATCAGTCGTTTTCTGTGCCTACCACCCCAACAAGGGACATCTCAGGCCAGACACTTGGCATTTCAGCCACAAGAACCGCAAGAACAACCCAAATCAATAGTTCCGTGCACTGTGATTGCAGGAAGAGGGGTTGGGACAAAAAAAAAAAGGAATGAGAAAAGAAAACGAAACAAAAAAGAAACAACAAAAAACGAGGTTTTAGCTTGAACCTCAAAGAGTTAGTGGTCCCTTTTCCTTTCTCTTCCTTTTGGTTTCCTAGCCCTAAAAATGGAGTAGAGATTTTCCTCCTTGAACACGAGACAACAAAACTGAGATRTATCAGGTTAAACATGAACACCAAAGGAATGTCTCAAATGCAAATTCTACATAGTTTGCATTAAAAATAAAGCCTGAGGCTACACATTTTTCTGCAAAGAATAAAAATACTAATCAACTAACCACTAACTATATAAACCAGGGAGCCTTTATTTTACTTTCATAAAAGCAGAGATGGGCTTATCAGGCTATACTGCAGAAAACACTATGTGACCATGCATAATACTGTGGCTGAGATACAGATATATGGAGATATTAGGGGTATGGTATATATACGTAATGACAAAATTATCTCTGCACAAGGGGTCTATTTTCCGACCACTTTTCTTGAGCAAAGYGTTGCTGAACAAGCACAGTTCTCATTCTGAACTACATACCAAAAAGCAACTCAAAGCAGGGCTAAAATCAAAGCATAAAGGAGAACAAATAGAACTGCCCGGGTCTTGCAGACAAAACTCTTTCCCAAGTCTCTTTGTTACGTRCCAGAGAAGGAACAAACAACCTGAAAAGGCCCTTCCTGCTGCAGCTCAGGGCAGGGCTGGCTGGGGTAAATAAAGTTACTTATTTCAAGTAAAGTGTAGAACTACAAGGCTTCTAACAACACAGCRTCATGATTTCCTGTAAGGAATAATATTGGTTTAACTTATTTAAAAAGAAAAAAAATATGAAAAAATAGAGAAAAGGAGAGTCTCACGTGTTCTAGATGAACGTGTGCCTGGCTGGCAATGTCATAAATTACATCTCTCACATTCTTCTCTTGCCTGCATCTTATGAAATCCTCTTGTGAAACTCCATGCTAGACATGAGGAGGAAAACCAAAACAAAAACTCTTATAAAATATCAAGTTTCCATTCTAGGTTTGCAAAGGTAAGAAATCCCAAACACCTGTCCCCGGCAGGAACCTGCTAACACAGCTGAAATGGCCTCTTGTCGGTCATTTGGGAAGAAATTCAAAGGCCCCCTTTGCACYGACCATCTTTGCACGCACTAGTTCCCAGAAGACTCTGTGGTCTGTTGGAGTAACCGAGTTGGATTCTGAAGTTTTGGCCATTTAGATCAGTTTACACAGGCGCCTGTTTTTAAACCTTAACTCTTGTTGACTTTATTCTGCTTAACAAAGCAGCCAGACTGGCTCATGAGGCCCTGACCATGAGCCTGGCGAGCACCACCCTCTTCCATCACGCTTGCAAAGAACACGGTATTTTCTTTACAGTGACCACTGCAGAGGAGGTTATGGCATATTCAGAATTGCTGCTCTTACAGCAACACAGGAACATATGCCTATAGCTGATGGATGTAAAAGGAAAGGTCAGAGCATTATGGAAAGGCAGTGAAGAAAAATTAGGGGAGTTGATTCATACCTAGTATTTCTTATGGGGCTTCCTTATGGAAGAAAGTAAGTCCCTTTCCATAAATGTGTATCGACAAATTTTATAGAGAAAATACTACTAGATTTAATGGAGGAAAAAAAAAAAGTAAAAAAATGACTCCCCACCCAGAGGTTTCCACAGGTCACTCATCTCCCAAGAGATACCAAACATTGAAACGGTGACAAGGGCAAGATCACTGGGGAACAACAGACAGTTATATGAATAACTCGAACAGTTACACGGATATGAACAGTTATATGAATAACTCGAAAGTGTGCTGTTTCTGACCTAATAAAGTATTATCTCATATTCAGTGCTGAAAGGCATTTAGAAACACTATACTACTAAAATTTGGACATCTTTTCTCTTACCAACATACAAATATCCATGGGAAGAAAGATCTTCCGTCTTGTGCTGTGATAAGGAGTTGCTCTTAAACAGGTAACTATGCCTTGTGCCTTCCCGATGTGACTGGCTGCGTGGTCTGCGTGGATGTCCCTCACACCTACGAGGTCAGAAATACCAGGTTCAGAAACGCTCAGAAATGCATGCTCAGGCTGTTCTGCCAGCGTGCCTGCAATTCTACTCACACAAGGAATCAGAGAGCACAGGACCAAGCCTATTAAGTGACAACCCCCTGAAATCTGTGAGAATGAAGTTGCACAGCTATTTTTAGGAAACATGCTCCTGATGTCTTTCCACTTTGCCTCTAAGGCAGCTAAAAAGCACTAGAGGTTCAGCAAGCATGACCTGTGAGGAAATGAAGCCAAATGGCCTAGAGAAGACAACTGATGGGGAACATCAAGAAAATGGCTGTGTTCAATTAATTTCTCAGTATCTGTGAAAGAAGACACAGAAGTACYATGCTTAATATGCAGTGAAGGGGGGTTTTGTTTAGATATTTAACCTTCCTTAGATATAAAAGTTTAAGAATGATAATAGAGTGCCTAGGAAGTCTGGAGTCTGCCTAAGATTTTTCAAGAAACTGATGTGATTTGTATCAAGAATGACCCAAGCAAAACTGATCTCAGAACTGAAAATACCTYCCAGAATGGAAGACAAGTTCTTCTTACTGCCCTGAATTTCAGTGACCAGACATTCAGAAGGAAACATTTTACCAAATTCTCACTGGGAGAGCAAACCCCAGAYGCTGTAACAGGTTCCCTTCCTCATTTCCTCCTACGAAGAATGTGCTCCACATACATCTGTCTTCACAGTGTTTCTTTTTATGGTTCAGCCTCAGCACTAGCCTCCATGAGGCTACTCTGACAAGCAACAGGAAAACTCTAACACAACAATAATATCACAATTAAACACTACTAGTACTACTTAGTATTAATTCCTGCTCTTCTTTTACACCTGAACCAACATATGGAGTATTTCCATGATGCAACACCCACCAAAAAAGTTGTCCTTGTCTTCACCGTAAATGAAGAGATTTTTCCCTGGAGTATTAGACACACTTTGCCTTCTATGACTTCTAAAYCACAAAGATCATGCAGTCTTCGTTGCTTTTTTTCTGCATTGTTGATAGTTAACCTACTTCTAGGAAGAAGAGAGCTTTCACACCCAAACTGAAATTAAACTTCCATGGAAGAAGAATGTTTTATTTTCAAACCCTCGCAGTAATAAACATCACAGCAGCACTAATGAGAGAGTCTTCAGCAAAAGGAAAAAATGGAAGCCACCTACCAAGCATTTCCAAGGTGAGGTACAAGAGMGCACTCTGAGTGTTCTCTGCGTATTTTTCAAGTTCTTGGAGGTTACGGTAGGGTCTGTCATCCAAATTTTTCTCCTGCAAATTGAAAACACAGAGCTCCAATAAAAGATTCTAGTAAAAKGTGAGTATAACTGCTATTTGTACAAATTTACAACAATGGGTTAGGTTGAGCTGATTAAAATAGATCAAAAATAAGGTAAGATAGAAAGAATATAAAGAGATAGAAACGGTCATTAAAGCTTAGTTAGCATGTCTAGTACAACCAAACTGCTGCATGCACCTGCAAAAAGGTCCAGTCAATGCATCTATTTTAACTTTTTGCAATAACAAGTAGTCAGAGAATTCTTCAGAAACAAAATCAGACACAGCCACAACAAAGCACCGTATGGTATTGGTATTCCTACGCTAGYGTGCTGCCAATGCTGATTGCTTCAGCTGCTAACCAGGTGAGAGAAACTTAGATAAACAGTAATGGATTTTCAAAACATGCACTAAAATCTAGTCATCAAATCACATTCAGGCTTTGAAGTAGCATGAAAATATCTCCAAAAATCTAACACCTTCTGTCATTCTTCCTGTCCTAGTGGGTTTTGTGGTTAAAATGTATCAGTCTTAGATTTAAAAAGAAAAGAACACCTCCATTGTTTCCTAACAATGACACACAAGCCATTGACCCGCAATTTTCTCGGGACTTGTCTTCCTGACATGCTACTTGCAGCAGGAAAGCTGGCTAGGAAGCTCCGGAGCTCCCTCCTGCCCTCGAGGCACGGCTGGCAGCAGCACAACTGCACCAGGGAAATTCTTCTTCTCATTTTTCCCCCAAGGAACAATTATTGGAAAACTCGCATCATTTCAATGCCCTGGTTCACAGGGCTGCTTAGTGACACCTTCCCAGCCCCAACAGGCAGCAGCAGCAGCTCGTGGCACAAAAGTCCAGGCAGGGCAGTGCATTTTACAGGTTTTATAGCCACAACTCACCACAACAGAAGAGTATTTAGGTGCAAAATTAACATGGTAATAGAAAAATAGGAGGAAGAATAAAATTACATAAATGGATGGGATGGGACTGGAACAGCAAAAAGAGATGCCATATATGCATTTTGGGAATATATATGCATTCTGTATGTTTTTAAGTAAGACAGTACATATCACCTGCACATCTTAATTCCTATTTCTAAAAAGATGCATTTTTCTAAAATTCTTAATTGAAAAATAGTCACATTTGGAGGCCTATTTAATTTCACAGGACGCAGCTTCCCTCATATATGCACAGAAAGTTGCCTAAGTACAACTAAAAATGGATTTCCTCAAGAGGTTACCATTTCACAGCAGAAATAAAGGCCAGCAAGACAAAACATGCGCACAAATACATGGGTTACCAGAACAGGGAACAAAGATACAGACTAGCAAGCTACATCCTTTTGARAGCAAAAATAAACAATAGCTTTTAATTCGCTATTTTGGCCAAAAAGAGCACAGATCATGCATTAAAGCACTAAGGGAGAATTAAAAGGTAAATATAACAGTATCATTCTTACATAGAAATAGAAAAAAAATATTCCTTAACCTACAGTTCTACACACACACACAGATAAAAATTAAGGGGAAAAAACAGCTATGACAAAAAATAAAACTGTCCTTTGGCGGCCAATACTCACCCTTTCATCAATAAYCTTCATGATCCACATTTTAGTTAGATTATGTCTCTTGACAGCCTGAAAATAAAACACTCATGGTTACTGCTTACAAAGTGATGGCAGTCCTGCATTCTGAAGGCTTAAATGTATTTTAGATAATCCTTTTCTTACAAGGATTGTATGCATCGGGTTAAATCAAAGGGCCAAGTCAGTGGAAAAAGGAAATCTTCAAATTCAAAAATGTTTTTATATTTATTACATGTGTTGCACACAAGCTGAAATCTTGAGCACCAAGACATCTAAACAAACACATTTCTCTAAAAATATTTTGAAAGCAATTCATTCCATCATGGTGTCATCCTTTCCCACAAAACAGCTGCAAATCACTATGTTTGCTTTCCAAAAAGCAAAGAGTTTCTTCCAGAGCCAAGCAATAAAAAGAAAGAATCCTCATGTAAAATTTCAAGAGAATGTCTGTAAATTGTAACAATACACACTGTAAAAACAACACTAACAATATAATACACGATTTTGTTTTAAAAGTTATCCTATAGTATCTCATACTCATCTATTCAGCTTTTGACTCATCTCAGATTTGACTTCCTTCCCACATTCAATCAACTTATCAATCCTTTTAACTCTCCAAGATACCTTGAATTTTGCAGGCCAGGCTATCAGCCAGGGTACAAACACACTCTTGAATACTCACCACAAAATTCAGGAGACTTTTCAAAGTCTTGGTTTTCATAACTCACTTCTTTATAACTCTAATTCTTTATATCCATTACATTTGTACATTTTTTTTTCAAATTCTGCAAGAATAGACCTTGTTGATTCAACATTTATGCTTGAGCAACTACTCTGTGCAAAAAGGCAAAATCTAGAGATACAGATGCCAGCTTTCCTTCTCCCTTGCTCAACTTAAGCACTAGAATGCTTAAGCATTCTTAAGCAACAGAAAAGCCCAGAAATCCAAGTTTGACTGTTCTGGAATATGAAAAGTATTTGGAACATATTTAGTATGACAAATTAGTATTTCTTTTGGAAAACAGAGATTGCTCTTCATACAACCTCAGCAGTGAGAACAGAGTGGTCACACAACGTGCTGTCCAAAAGACACGTTAACTCTCTTAACAGCTCGGCGGTATTTACCTCTTTCCAAATCCTTCTTTTGAAGGATTACAACGATATTACCGATCAGCTGTGCAGCTACCCTCCTCAAACAGCTCATTCTGAGCGTATTTGCTGACATGTGGAAATAAAACCACATCTTGAGAGCACAGGTCACCAGGACAGACTGTGGTGTTTGTTCGCTTCAGTGTTCTGCACAGTTCAGAACTAGCAGTGCTCCCCAAAATACATTTTTTAAATTAATTCTCAAGATCGTATTTCACAACCAATTCCTTTTGGATTGTCTCATACCGGTCTTCCAGACCAATCGTATATAAGGGCAAAACTTACCACACAAAGACCAATTCTTTCTTCTACTTTAAAAATCACTTTTCGTTTTGAAAGAAAGGAGTACGAAAAGCAATCTTATTTATTGGAAGGAYGTGTAATTTGTATCTGAATACTGAATGATCTAAACCTGAATGATGGCTGTTACAAGCTTCTCATCTGCTAGTAAAATATTTCCGCCTCACATACATAACCCACAAGCCGCATGAAATAAGCAGCAGTGGAAAGAAAATTTACAGTAATATTGAAATCTAACTTGTAGCCCAGTTAGTCAGGTAACTGCATGGGACAGTGTTTTTGGAATCAAAAGTTGCTCTAAAGCAAGTTCCTCCCTGGAAAGGAGACAGCCCTTTTCGGGAGAAGACTGTCTTGTTCCTCCTGGGCAAGCTGCCCAGGAACAAGACAGGATATAAGGATATAAAAGGATAAAGGATATAAAAAGCAAAGGCCCAGAGAAATCGACAGGCAAAAATACCAATGGCACATTCTAACATTTGTGTTAAAACACCTACCCCAAATTCAGCTTTAATTCCTCTTAGCCACTTAGTTGTGGCTAAGGCCACACTTTATCTGAGCTGCATACACCTATGAACAGCTTTGCTCTTCCAGGGAGTGACTCTGTTAACAGATACAGACATTTGTTTTACTTCTTGAGTTTGCCTATGTTTTCTCTTAGTTAATAGGTATTTTAATTTACATTTTAATTAAAATAAAAGTGTTGATAAACAGTAACAAATGCTCACTTCTTCAAATGTGCAATGAAGTACGAGCGAGGAAGGGGTCACACTTCGAGCACTGCCGAAGTTCATTCAAAGGAAGAGTTCTGACTGCCTGTTCTTCAGCAGGTCCATACACCAAAGTTAACAACATTCAGCTGTTTAGCTCCAGGCAGACTGCAGTTTTTCTTGTCCAGGAGCTCAAAAATCATTAGCTTAAATACAAATTCCCATCTTGCAGAGCAAGGCCTTAAGTAGATGCTCCTTCTGAGGATTCCAACACTTACAGGCTGTGGTCCAAAGTCATCAAGTTAGCAACACCTGGAATTTCTATGCACGAAGGTAGTCAGTGTTCAGCTGGATGCGACCCAAAGTTAGCCCTGCACAGCCCTGGGGAGCTGCACAACTGGGTGTCCCGAGGTCCCTTCCAACCTACATTATTCTATGATTTTATATCAGCACCATGGGGAAATCCATTCACAMTAACTTCAGACCCTCGGTCATCCCTTGAACAGGTCAATAGGAGCTAAAACCAGAAATAAAAAAATATATATGCAAGTCTCTGCTTCTTCAGCCATATACAGCAGAGCTGCAGGTCTATGTTACCTGTGATATTCTAGGGTCTGCCTGAACTCACAAAGAGTCATCTTGGTAAACATAAACTGAAGGTCACAAGTACCTTCCTTGCTACTCAAAGCACAAAAAGAGGATCTAGACTCTGTGCAAAACACATAATAGATAAATAAAAGTAACTAAGTAACTCTCMAGCAAGGAAAAAGAGAGTGTTAGGATTCCCCTATTATCTCCTATAATTAGGTATGAAAGTCTCGGGCTTTCCCTCACACTACCTGCTAGATCATCCCCTGTGCTTAGTGCCCTGTTCTTCCAGTGCTTAATCTTCTTAGCACCAGAACAGGATCAGGACAATTTACTTGCACACTTCACTTGCTATCAACTTACAGCTTACCAGAACTTACTCTGTCCTTCACCTGAGGAGACAAGAGAAAAGCACTTTGTTCGCAGAAGTCTGACCCTCCAAGCAGACCCTCCCTAAATATCCTCTTGCTCCAACTTTGCTGTTTAATTTTAGGTTACTCACAGTATCAAAAACCACCCTTGACATCACCTTTTTTATACCAAATAATGCAGTTAACAGTGCAACACAGCATATACAAAATAATGATGTTACTTCTCAAAGCTAGATTTTAGCCAAGTGAATTTTAGGACAACAAAAACCAGGACAACAAAAACATATTTTACCTTCCACAGTTCTACAGCAACCGGCTGATGTGGTGGTTTATCACAGTAGATACTTTCCACTGCATCCCTCCAGAACTGCATTCGCATCAAACCTGTAGCCTTTTGAGTTATGGAGTCTTTAATCTAAAAGGGATATACATGGAGTGAAATTGCAGTCACCGTTAAGACACTTAGTCTATCTACTCTTAAAAGACTGACACAAGACACMACCAGACATGATAAGAAAGTGCTCAGTCTGGAATTCACATTTACTCTTCACAAATACATCTACAGGCCTCCCTCCTGCTGGCAAAGACCTGGGATTGATGATATCAGCCAAGTTTTTGATTGACCTTCTACAGACAGGATTAAGCTGCACTTATCAGATTGAGCCCTCGCATTTGGAGCCAGGACACTGAGGCAATCACATAACAGTGTCAGTGACAACAGCCTCTTTGTTATCATTTATTATTTATGCACTTTGAAATGCAGAACACGAAGCAGAAAAATTAAATTCATAAACAAAATGCACGGTAGGAGGCTACGCCCCAAGGGTCATTCAAAAGCAGAGGTTTGCAGTGGATTACTTATTCATTGCCCTCTGTAGCATGAAAGGTTAACCTCAGCAAACTACCACCCACTAATAGCATTTATAATGCTGAAATCATTATTTCACATTTGCAAATTCTGGAAATGTATTTTAATACCTGCCTGAGCCAGTTCCACGTTGAAAGCTCTCAGGGCTAAAGCAGAAGCTCGGCACTCTGCGGGCATGAGCAGAGAACACAGAAAGCCTTCGTAGTCACGCTTCCTATAAAAGGACAAACACCAAACATATTYTATGTACAGGTCAATGTAAACTGGGCATGCTACTGCTTAGCACTTATGGTATAATAGCAGTAAGTTATATTTGAACTTAAACKTCACAAAAACAGTATTTTTAAGCCYGTTTTAAAATAAGGCAAACTCCTAGAGAGGGGGGCATGCAGTTTGAACTCTCAGAGCATTACAGGGAAAATAAGCACCTCAAATCCAGATCTCAAGTTATTTAGCTAGCGGCATGGAACAAGCCTGTGGCAGCGCGGCAAACAGAATCCAAATTGTCCAATCTCCAGCCTTCTTTGCTAAACATCAACCACATTATTTTAAGAGACTGTGCTTTGGTGCTCGGCAGCAGACCGCGTGCTTAACCAGTAAGTTTCTGCTTACTGGCAATTACATCCAACGCATCGATGCTCTTTGTGGTGGCAGCTTTGCTGCAGGTCACCTGCTGCCAGCCTGGAGACACAGACCTTTGCTTGGCCACTGGGGTGTGCCACTAAGTCAAGAATAGTCTCTACACCATGGTTATAAACTCCAAAATCCCACCTAACTRCAGCTACTAAAAACAATCGGTCACCTAGGAAAGCTCAAGTGCAAGTTTTGAGCAGTAATTTTGCGTAATTTCTGAGACTGGTAACTTATGAAAACCAGCAAATACAAATGAAGTCTCAAGATTTGAGAAGCAGGATGTTAAAGCAAAAATATTTACTCATTTTCATTAAATTTGCCATTCTTACATGTGCTCATATTTCTTTTGAATATAAGCTTAAAACAGCAAAAACAAACCAAGGGTTTTTTAACTAGTAAGAGTTACTTCTTTTAACATTAACAAAAAAAAAAAAAGAATCAGATTTAAGGTGGGTTTTTTTTATCCCTACAAAGCAGAGCAGCTGGTAACTAGCAAATGTTTTGAGTTTTCCTAACTGTTGGGAACCACTTTCAGAGCCAGGCGCAAATCCAGAAGCATACAGAGCAAATGATATCTGTGGATTTTAGTAGGCTTTAAAAGCCACACTAATAACAAAAAGCAGATGTATTAAGTCTCCCTCAAATAAGACACTTTAGGAAAAGTGCTAGCAAAGCAAAACCAAGTATTTTTTCTCAAGGGGGCCTGTAATATCAATCAGTATTGCCCATGATGGGCAGAACTCCCAGGTTTACAGTCAGGTATTCCTAGTTCTACTTACTCACTCTGACTGGGGCGTTCACACAACGAAGAAACACAACTACCTAGGGGAAGGAAGCAGAATACACAACTGAAGCAAAGTGCACAAATCAAACACTGCAGCGGAAAGGTCTTTCTTCCCTCTAGTAACACTTTCAGTTGCCCTAACTTTAAAAATTAGAGGTAGAAAAAAGAACCTTAAAAAAAAATCTAAAAAAAAAAAGAATGTTATGGTGACAGGGTTCCCTTCAGCAACAAGGGAACAATTTAGTTCTTCTTTTAGTAAAAAGAAACAAATTAATTTTCTGTAACCTTCAGTTAACCTCCAGTSTGTAAAATAAAATTCCTACTGCCACAGATCATGTTCCACCCCAATTCTCTTCATGAATTAAAGGAATGAAGAAAGGAGGGAAGAGAACTTAAGTCTGATATTAAGTACTTCAATTGTTTCCCTCCCTTTCCCTAACCGCAAAAGTAAGAAAATGTGGTTATAACCATTAGTAGATTTCCAATATAATGAAAAAAATAAAGCATTTTGAGAATTTCTTCTGTATTACAAATCCCTATATCATCAACTCATGAGCTTGTCCTCCAGCCTGCTCTCATCATAAGCGGCAAGAGACAAAAGCAATAACCACAAGGGAAACATATTTTTAATGAAACAGCTTTAAACTACTTTTAAGAGACTTATTTAACAGGGGAAAAACTTTGCTGGAGAGTTGCTGGTGCTTGCACTGCCTGAACTGATTTGTTTCTGTGTGAATACCAACTTGTTCATCTCAGTTTTAAAATGATTTTCACACAATACATGAGCTACCACGTAACTCCAACTAAATTATAGCAAAGTGCCAAAAGCATTCATAAATGATTTTGAATGCTTGTGTATGTTTCCTTGTTTTTTCTATAAAATCTGTTTTAACAAAAAATCACTAAAGATTGTTACACCCAACCACACTAGCTTTCCAAGCCTACCTCCAATTTCAGTCAGTTGTTACTGACAGCCGTTTAATTGTGTATATTAACTGCACGACATGGTCTCTGATCTCCTAGGACCAGCTSAATCCCAGGCAGGGCAACCAGGAAAACTGCAGCCATAACCTGAAGCTCAGCACTAAAGCACAGGCGGGACACGAAGCACATCTGAGACTGGCTGCTACTCGGTGCTTCTCAGTCAATTGAAAGATTTTCACTCCATATACCTTTGTATTTCCCCTAGTTGTGAAGAAACTACATTATTATATACCCTCTGAAGCCTTCTCCCTGCTTTCACCAATAATTTGGGGTAACTGTGTCCAAGAAAATGTATGTTTCTGTTTTTATGCAGAACTTGTTTCACTTTTCCTGCGGCTCGGTGGTCCAGGACACATCCCGGCCAGGAAGGCACCTCGGGTTTCACCCAAATCAGAGCTCCTGGACACACGAGGGCCTCCTCGGCATCCCGCACGGCTCCCACAGGCCGCTTTGGCTGCCGGATTCCCTCTGCTATGGCTCGGGGTTTTACGGTGTTTTTTTCCAATAAATACTTGGCAAACTTGGCCATCTCCCAAGCGGCCAGGAAGACCAACGACTTTTAAAGCGTCATTTCAATAACCTTCCTCCGCAAGCAGAAGGCCAGCAAACTGGCACGGGCAGCACAGCAGAAGGAAAGCGGCTGTGAAAGAAAACAGGGGAATGCAGTTACGATATTCGCCCACTCGCGATATTCACCCCGTCCCCGCTGTCCCGCCGCGGGGCCCCGCGCTGTCCCGCACGAGGCGGGCACCGGGGCGGGCGGCACCGGGGCGGGCGGCCCCGGCATGGCGGCCGCGGCACTCACCGCAGCAGCTCGGCGCAGTACTGCAGTTCCCCGCCGGGCGCCGGGCGGCTCCCGGCCGCCGCGCTGCAGCCGCCGCCGCCGCCGAGGCGCGGGCGCAGGAGGCCGCCCCGGGCGGGCAGGAGGCCGCAGGGCCCCGGGAGCCGCGCGCCGCCCCGCGCCATAGCGGCCGCCGCCATCTCGCGCTCCGCCCTCCCGCCGCGGCGGGGCGGCCTCGTGGCGGCTCCCGCCGCCTCGCGCGGCCTGGGGGTGACCTGAGGAAACACC